GATAGGCGGCCAGGGGGTCGAGGGGCTTGAAGACGGAGATTCATGCTTGAGGACGGGTGATCTGGAGGAAGAAAAATGACAGCACCAGGGATGATGAGGATGAGGATTGTGACTACCTACCAGACCACCCCAACCCAACCCGAAGACCCGAATTTCGGGTTGGAGGGGGTACGGGTTCCATACGTGTTTCCTCGATGTTCCACGACCCCCCCCCCACTGGAAATCGAGGATAAATTGGGGCCTTCGGGTTGGGTTGGGGTGGTTTGGTGGGTGGTGAGATTGGGGCGGGGGGACGAGGGGGGACGATCAGGACGAACGAGAACTCGCAGGCGCCGGCGGAGGACGAGGAGGGAAGACGACACGAGGTGGGCGGCGAAGAGGCGGATCACCTGTGGCCTTGAGCGACAGCATCGAGACGTCGCTCGCAAGCAGGGTCTGCTCAGACAGCATGTCGTCCTGCAGCGCCTCGAACCTGCTGGCGTCGTCCTCGGCAACGGCCTCGTACTTCTGCCAGAACAGCCTCCCTCCCTCGGGGGAGGGACGGGAGGAACCCTCTCAGTCTCCCGCTCTGTATGCGTCTGCTCTTGCTGAGACTCTGGTCTTCGCGGTAGTCCTGGCAATCCTGTCCCTCTTCCCCCTCCCAACCCTACCCGTCCCCTTCGTCTCTCTCCATCTTCTCCCCGTCCGCTTCTGCCTCGCTGGCACCATCCGTCACTCCCACCCCCCCCCCTTCCCCCCGCCGTCCCTGGCCCTCTCTGCCTCACTCCCTCCCTCTTCCGACTTCCTTCTTTCCCTCGCCGCCTCCCCGTCCCTGTTTCCCTCCCTCCGCCCCTCCCCCTCCTCCATGCCTGCCGCCTCTCCTGTGCCTCATCTCCCCCTAAATCTCCCCCGTTCACTATCGCCCCGTCAGCCTCTTCAGCTCGTCCACCTCGGGTACGTCCAGCCCAGCCGACAGGCCCTCAATGATGGCCTTGTCAACGAACCCCGAGGGGAACGAAACAGGGGGAGCGAGAGGAACAACATGATGACGTCACTTACGATGATATTGTGGGCGATGATGGTCACTGGTTATGGTGAGGATGCTGATGATCCTAACATATGCTAACGAGTATGCTGATGATGGTGGTAGTGATGATGACGACGACGATGCTGATGCTGCCGATGATGATGCTGATTATGAAGATGCTGATTGTGATGATGAGTTTGGACCTATTAATGGTGATGCTGCTGTTGACGATGCATGTGATGATGACAGTGGGAGTAGCACGACGACGATGGTGAACATGAGTCAGATAATCGGCTGGTGACTGCGACGGTCATGGCGACAACGAGATGCATCAATGTCCGCGGTGGAATAACATGATGGGTTTGCGGCTGATGGTGTTGATGCTGCTGCTGATGGTCCCGTTGGGCAAAAGTGATGGTGATACGGGTGATGACCTGGAGGAGAACAGACGGACGACTATGCGCACAATTATGATGCCACTGCCGCATGTTAGGATGTCAGCGATAAGAATGCTGAAACGAGCGAGGCACATGCGGCGATGCTGATTGAACTGAGGACGAGAAGGATCGGACATATAGAGAGAGCGGTAGAAAAACAAAACAAGAGACGAGAGAGAGAGAGAGAGAGAGCGAGAAAGACAGCATACTACGTCAATGAGAAGTGTGATGACGAGGAGGGAGGAACGAACTGTCAACGGAAGGGAGCAGGACGCGATGGAACAGAGTATAACAACAGGGAAAACGAGGAGGGGACGGCTGGTTATGATGGAAGTGGATAGTGATGGTACTACGCAGTATACGTATCACGATACTTTTTTGGCGAGGAGGAGGGGGGACGAAGCGGATGATCAGGATGAAGACAGGGATGAGGAGAACGGTCAGGAGGAGGACAACGAGGGGTAGGTCGATAAGGAAAACTAGGAATGTCAGACGCCAGGAACGGGATGAGTTGAGGAAGATGGAGATGGCTACGATGACAACGAAGATGCTCATGACGGTCAGAATGACGACGAGGAGGAACAGGAAGGACGACGATGCTGCTGCCGATGACGACGACGAGGACGGCGACCGCCATGACAACTTGCTTGGTTTTGCGCGCTCGCGCCTCCTGGGCCGGGCTGAGGCTTGGGTCGCGGCCCAGGCCTCTGGCTCGCGCGTGGCACCATGGCCCCCTCAACTGGCATGCGCTCCCTGCCCATCCCGACCAGGGGCGCCATGTTGAGAGAAACAAACAACGACATAAACTAACTGTTGGCGCTCTGCGCGGATTTCTTGGATCTGCGCTGGCGTGCGGAGCGCGCCAGAGGCGATGGCGGATGCGCCGCCAGGGGGCGCCCAGCGCAGATCCGAGAAATCCGCGGAGCGCCAGAAGTTTATGTCTATGCCATTCCTTCTTTTTCGAATGTTATCAGAATGGCTCAGCATTCTCCGATCTTGGCTGGTGGCCAAACACCCAGATGTCCTTTGCACTGCGCGCTGGCGGGCCAAACAGCCAGGGTACATTTACGCTGAGAGCACGGTAGTACGCGGGCGAGAGGCTTGAGAGAAGGTGCCACGGGGGTGGATGAGATGCGATAAAAACGTGCGGGACACTGCAATACAAATTGTCCAGACCTCTCGACGTGATTCATCCGTGCCAGCCTCGCGGATCCAGGGGAGGATGAGATGGGGAAGGATTATGACGAGGGATATCAGATCGATTGTGCATGAGCTAGAGAAGGCGGCAATGGAAAGGTAGGTAGGAATAAGATAAAGAAGAAGAGGACGAGAAGGTCTCGACTCCATTTCCGTCGCAGCCCATGACCTTCTGACTCAGGAGACCCATTGCGCGAGCTGCGGTAAGGAGGGGGGCATGAGAAAACGGATGAGTAGGAGGATGATAAAGAGAATCCGAGCAATGAGGGGGAATATGATAACACGACGGAATGTTGAGTAAGAGGGGGAGGAGGGCGAGGAGGGAAGATATATTAATAGTCGAGGGTGGATGTGGGATAACAATAAAGACGAACTAGGTCACAGCAAAACCAATGTTGGGAAAAAAAGCGAAGGACAAGATGATGAGTGAAGGGGAGAAGGAACATTGGGATGAGGGGAAGAAGGAAGAAGAAGGAGAAACACCGATCAGGTCAAGGAGGGTACTACATCACATGATCAACACTGGTAAGATAAGAATGGCCTTGGCAACGTCCCCGATGTCGACTTCTGCGAGATCCACCAACATCAACTGCCGAAATCTCTTCGCGCGTGCAGCCTTCAACGGCTTAATAGTGTTCTCCATAGCGAACTGGTCCTTTCCGGCATCCTCGAAAAGGCGTAATGAGGAGGATCATAAGGAGGATCAGGAGCAGGAGGAGGAGGAGGAGCAGCAGCGCCATACTAAAATTATGATGATGATGCTGATGCTGATGCTGATGATGATGATGATGATGACGGTGCTGATGATTATGATGATGATGGTGATGATGACGGTGCTGCTGCTGATGATGGTGGTGATGATGATGCTGCTGATGTCGAGGAGGAGGAGGAGGAGGAGGAGGAGGAGGAGGAGGAGGAGGAGGAGGAGGAGGGGGAGAAGGAAGAGGGGGAGTCCTGGGGTGGTCGTCCCAGAATGGTCGTGGGAGACGCTATCCCATTCGAAACGATCTCATCCTCTCTCTGCGGCCACCTAGAGCTTTCCAAACTCGCCGCCCCGAAGTCGGCGGAAGCGGTGGCGAGCGAGGGGAGAAAGTGAGAAGGGGCGAACCTTCCCACAAGGCTCAGAAGTCCCCCAGCCTTCTGAGAAGTCTCGACGCAGAAGACTTCTGGGAAGGCGCGAGGGCTTCTGAGAAGTGCCGCCGCCCTCTGAGAAGGCCTTCTCCCTCTCATTTTTCCCCCCCTTGCTCGCCGCCGAATTTGCTTTTTGGGTCATAACTCGGGTCTCCAGTGGCCGTTCGGGACGATGCCGGCACCCCGGAACGCTCTCGGCGAGGCGCAGCCGCTGGAACGCATCCCGAGGCAAGAACGCCGCAGAGAACCGACGAAAACGCCCTAGAACCTCGAACCTCGAACCCAAAACTTCACCCCCTCGCCGCCCCTTCCCTCTCATGCCCTTCCCGTCGGAGGGGATGTGCTGAGGGGACTCGGGAGGTCCCCAGGGGCGGGTCCCGGGGCGTGAGGCCTTCCGCCCCGTCTCCCCACCCCTGAAGTGGCTCTCGGGCGCTCCTGGGCGATCTTGCAGCCACCAAGGCAAGGGGCCCAGGAGGACACACCAACAAAAATACGCAAGGATCGAAGGACTCCCCATATTTGTCCCACATTTTCTGGGGTGCCCTCCCCATATTTGTTTCATACCTTCTGGGGTGTTCGTCTTCCCCCCTCCACTTGCCATACCTGCCCATCTTTTCCAAGGAACCGACGCTGCTCACGTTGCTCCCATCGTACTTCAGGACCGCATCCCAGAAGTAATCTCGAGCACCCACAAAAAGTGCCGAAACAGTGTCGAAAGAGCATCGCCTCCCAGGGCCCGACGCGCGAACCCCCTCAAAGCTCGGTGCTCTCCCGGCGCTCGAAAAATCATTCCTGGTGATCCAGGCCAGAGCAGGTTGCAGCGTTGTAAGTCGATGCTTTGTGCCTGTGTGTTCCCCCCTCCCGAACCTGGGCGCCCGTCAAGGCAATCACTCGAGGGAGGAGAGAGGAGGGAGGAGAAATGGAGAAAGAGAGGGAGGAGGGAGGAGGGACGAGGGAGGGAGGAGGGCGGAGGGCGGAGGGCGGAGGGCGGAGGGAGGAGGGAGGAGGGAGGAGGGAGAGGGAGGAGGGAGGAGGGAGGAGGGAGGAGGAGGAGGGAGGAGGGAGGAGGGAGGAGAGGATGAGTGAGGAGGAGGAGGAGGAGGAGGAGGAGGAGAAGGAGGAGGAGGAGAGGGAGGAGGGAGAGGGAGGAGGCGCAAGCTCGCCCTTTGGGAGCCTCTCTCGGGCCGCCCTCGAGGCCTTCCTGGGGGCGGGCCCCCAAGGCCCACGTCGGCCGAGGCCTTCACCTCCCTCCTCCTCCTCCTCCTCCTCCTCCTCCTCCTCATCGTCATCGTCATCGTCATCATTGTCATCATTCATCATTGTCATCATTGTCATCATTGTCATCATTGTCATCATCATCATCATCATCATCATCATCATTATCATCATCATCATCATCATCCTCATCATCATCATCATCATCATCATCATCATCATCATCATCATCATCATCATCATCATCATCATCATCATCATCATCATCATCATCATCATCATCATCATCATCATCATCATCATCATCATCATCATCATCATCATCATCATCATCATCATCATCATCATCATCATCATCATCATCATCATCATCATCATCATCATCATAATCATCAGCATCGTCATCATCATCAGCATCATCAGCAGCATCATCATCATCGTCATCGTCATCGTCATCGTCACCATCATCGTCATCACCCCCCCTCCTGCCCTCCCCCTCTTCCTCCTCCTCCTTCTCCTCCTCTCCCTCCTCCTTCTCCTCCTCCTAACCTTTTTCCCCCAACCTTCCCCTTACTCCACCTCTCCCCCCCCGCCCTCCTCCTCACCCTCTTCCTTCTCCTCCTTCTACTCCTCCTGCGAGATTGCAGCATTCTCGCCGCATCGGTCGCAAACGCGTGAAAGACAGCAGAATAAGCTCCCGAGACGGGCCCGGGATGGCCCAACAATGGCCCCAAAGCGCCCTCCAAGAGGAGGTCCACAAGTGCACTGGGGAAACGGAGAGAACCAGCATGGAGTGGGGAAGAGGAGGATGTCAGGAGGGAGGAACGACTAGAGAGGTGGGCGCTGTGGGAAGGGATAGAAGGAACCATGCGGACGGGGGAGGAGACAGTTGAAGTGAAGCAAAAGCAACACAGAAGGGAGGACATGGGGGGGGAAGAGGAACGATACGAATGAGAAAAAACGGGAGAAGGGAGAGCACACGGATTAGAGACTCAGCTAGGAGGCAAGCCAGGTGCGCCCCTACAACATCTGACAACCTATCCCTTCCACCGATCCATTCCCATTGCGTTAAGCTCTTTGCAATTCGCCGACGGGCTGTCTTAGAGGACCTTGACCCCCAGGTGTCAGTTTCAATATTCGGCCCATCGTGCACTGCGCAATCGGCAAATGACTTTTTGTCGGGACTTCGGATGAGGCGGATGGGGCACATGGGCAGGAGGAGCAAGAGCAGGACGAATCTGAGAAACAGGAGAAAGAGGGGAAGGCGGAGGACGATAACAAAAGGAAGCGACAACGACGAGGATCGAATTGGATTTAGACATGTGACCCGCGCTGGAACAGGATCGCCGTTCGGAACGACGGGGTCAAGCTGTGGATGCTGAAACGTGGCCAACAATGCAGCGGGAGGGCGATTTCGAAGGACTAAAGACGCTCCGATTGTCAGAACATAGGGAATACTATATACCACCCACATAAGCGATCCCATCAGCCATGTGGGGGGAGGTGGTTTAAGGAGCTCGCTCTCCCAACATCCTTTTTCCCCTTTCGGGAAGAGGCTTACCTCTTGCCCTACCCAACTCTCCTTGGGTTTCCAGGGGAGGGCGCGTTAGAGCGTCGACGAAGGCCAAATCGAAGTCTCCAAGACGGCTTCGTATAGCCCACGGTCGACCTGGAGACTGCACACTACACCCCAAGGTGGTTCAACATAGCGTCGAACGTGTCTCCACGAGGCCTCCAGACCGCTTCAAGCCAGCTCCAGGTGGCCACGACGCCTCCCAAGGGGGCCTCCAAGAGGCCTGCACCATATGAGCACATTGCGTTTTTTTTTTTTTTTTTTTTTTTTTTTTTTTTTTTTTTTTTTTTTTTTTTTTTTTTTTTTTTTTATTTTTTGTTTGTATATATATATAGATAAGGTTGTTGCCTTCTCTCCTTCTCGCTACCGATGGACTCTTGAAGCCTCAGGGTGGCTACAAGGCAGCCAAAGATGGCCCCAGGAGAGACTCCAGAGGGCTCCCAGACGGCCCCAGGAGCGCCTGAGATCGGACCAGTAGCGTCCCAAGCGGGACCCAAGACGGGGTGGAACATATGTATCGTCCCCGCTCATTCTACCGATGTGCGCCAAAGGCCCTAACGTAGCCCCTTAAGAGAGTCCCACATGTATCGACACGTGCCCCAAGATGGCCCAAGTAAGCTGCGCGGGCGCCCAGACCAACAACTCTGCGAACACATTTGTGGTATACGCCTGGGCCAACTAAAATTGATCTGGATGTCTGGCTTTATGGCTGCCCCACAATTTGATCCACTGTGTGCTCCCACACTTCCCTGATCAACGCAACTCGCTTGAACATCGTTGCTGGATGGACTGGTGGGAATACTTTTTTGTTGCGGCTGCAGGCCAAAGGGTCCGACAGCGTCAGCAGGAGTCAGCTCGGGCTACGAGTCACCTAGTTGCCGGCGCGGGCGCCGAGCGAGGCAGGCAAGACCTACCGCCGAGGGAAGCAGCCGCGCCGAGGCTGAGCTGCGGCGGGGGAAGAAGCTGCCGACTGCGGATGCGGCGGGGATGCTGCAGCGTGCGAGTACCATGGGAGCTGAATCACCAGGCACGAGAACTAGGCCTCGTCGCCACCGGGCGCCAGAGGACAGGGAAGCAGACCGCCAGGTGACACGCCAGGCCGCACTGGAAGGCTGAACCACTCCAGAAAGACACGGCGGGCCAGTACCCCAGGTGGCCAGCGGACAACCACAGCCAGGGAAGTGCAAGCACTGCCGGAACTGGTCATCAGAACGCGCGAGACCTGAACGCCAGGGCTCACTTAGTACCACGGAACAGAGAAAAGAGCTGGAGGCCAGGTGACGGGCGCCTCCACCGAGGCTGAGGGGGACGGAACCCAGCGCCAGAGGCGGAGTGGGAGCCAGACACCGCCAAGCCGGGCGGTGCCTGGGGACCAGGGCCCATGGGAGTGCAAGCACAAACGCCGGTACTGGTCAAGACGCGTGAGTTGAGGACGTCACGAAAAGGCCAGAGCCAGGGTAACCACGCCAGGCCGTGGCGGGGTCCGGGCAAAGACCAGAATGAAAACAGCTCAATAACGGCCAGGGCCGTAAGGCACGTCGCGCCCCGCCCCAGCGGATACGCGAAACGTCAGTACTTCCTGTGAGCGGGCCTGGCTGTGCGCGTGCGTGTGAGAGAGAGAGGGCGGGAACGAGAGAGAGAGAGAGAGAGAAAGAGAGAGAGAGAGAGAGCGAACGCACACACAACACACATATGTATGTAGCACCCCGCAGATGCGGATAAGAGTGAGGGGGCGGTGGGGACGTTGGCAGTCTGCCAGACTCAGGAGAAGCCCGCCGCAGGCGTCCAAGTTTCACAAATATGCAACGAGTCCGCCGCGGGCGCCGATTTTCTCTTCAAACCAATGTGGATCGGTCGAGGGTGGGTCGCGGGGTGGGTCGCAAATGAGTCGCGGGTGGGTCGCGGGTGGGTCGCGGATGGGTCGCGGGGCGGGTCGCGGGTGGGTCGCGGGTGGGTCGCGGGGTGGGTCGCGGGTGGGTCGCGGGGTGGGTCGCGGGGTGGGTCGCGGGTGGGTCGCGGGTGGGTCGCGGGTGGGTCGCGGGGTGGGTCGCGGGGTGGGTTGCGGGTGGGTTGCGGGGGGAACGACGACAACAAACAACAATAGCAGCAGCAACGACAACAACAATCATTTTACCCTCATGCGCGATTCTTCCACACGAAGCAGGCGACCATCATGATAAACCTCCACATCATGGGGGATTATTGATCTATAGGGGGTCCGTTATTCCCACTCCCAGATCTTCCGCCCGGTGAGGTCTTGCAAAAACCTCCTCCGAGGAATTTCAACATATCTCGCCTCGAGAACGCATGCCCGCGCCTTGCTGCGCCGATGCGAGACCGCAACAAGGGTAAAGCACAAGGAAGTATCGAGCGACAGGATTACCTTGGTGGGGACGGGGGCTGTCGGCGGCGAGGCAAGGACCTGGCCCTGAATAGAAAGGGAGGAAGTCTCGAGCAGGGCCGCTTTCGTTGCTGGGAGCGACGCCAATGCTGAAGAGACTAGGGCGCTAGTCCAGCGTAGAACAAAACGAAATCTCGAGCGGGAACGCTGGTTTTGTTGGGACAGCGGTTGTCGGCGGCGAGGAGGAACACCGCCTTGAATAAGAAAGGGGGAAGTCTCGAGCGGGAGCCGTGGTTTTGTCGGGACGGGGGCAGTCGGCGGCGAGGAACACCACCGTCCTGAGGAAAAGGGGAGGAAGCCTCGAGCGGGAGCGTTGTTCTTGCTGGGAGCGGCGCCAATTCAAAAGAGAGCACCCGGCGTAAAGCGGGAGGAGGTCTCGGGCGGGAGCGCTGGTTTTGTCGGGACGGCGGCTCTCGGCGGCGAGCAAGAGCACCGCCTTGAGTTAAAAAGGGAGGAAGTCTCGAGCAGGAGCGTTGTTGTTGCTGGGGGGCGGCGCCGATGAGAGAAAGAGTAGCGCCCCTGTCCAAAGTAAAACGTGATGAAGTCTCGAGCGGGAGCGCTGGTTTTGTTGAGACGGCTGCTTTCGGCGGCGAGCAAGAGCACCGGCCCTGCGTAAAGAAGGAAGAAGTCTCGAACGGGAGCGTTGTTGTCGTTGGGGGGGCGGTTTTGGCGGTCCCCCAAACCGCGCGAGCGTGAGCCTCATTTTCGATGAAAATGCAGCAGGCGCCTCGGCGAGAGCGCCAGGGCGCCTATAAGGGTTCCAACAATAATAATTGCTTAGAAGTTAACATTCAACAACAACAACAGTGACGACAGCGCACCAAGCATGATCCTCACCACGGATTCTCACTTCAGCCACGCACCCAGGGACACTGAATGACCGCTCGCCCCCCCTCACTCTGATATATATATATATATATATATATATATATGTATATATATATGTATATATATGTATTTTAAAAAGCAGTACGCCAAATGGGCGGGAACACAAGGACGCAGCATCAGTGGAGAGAGGAGGACAGTATTCACGCTGAGAAGCTATGAAAGAGGACGAGGGGGCGGTGACGGAGCAAAGGCGGAGGATGGAGGCACGGTGACGGATAATGATGACGCCGTGGGGGAGGAACAGAAGTATATGACTGTCAGGGAGAGTAAGGCCTGATACTGATGATGAGGAGCTGCGGCCCTGAGCGGACCATCCCTGCATCCCCTCATGAGAAAGGGCCACTGGCGCCTCGAGAACGCTTCCCCGAAGCACGTAGACGACCATGGATTCGCTGGCAGGCATGGTGGCCGAGAAGCGCACACATTGGAAGACACGGTGGATGACACCGAGAGCAGCAACATGCGAGGGCCGCGCAGGCTGGAGGTGGAGGCGAAGCGGGTGGGAAATGACACCATAGGAACGCACACGGCTCTAGCTCGGAGGTAGAGCAGGCAACACTTGACGAATTCGGGGGGTAACAGCAAAACGCGTAGCGCAGCCTAGCAGTTTCCACCATCGTCAGAACCACATCGGAACACACTCATGCATCATTTGACAATACGTTCGTTTGAATCGTGTCCTAGACTATGTGTCACATGTTCGGTATCATCTGTTGCGGTCCGCGTGTGGAACTTGAACTTGGTAATCTCCAACCAGACGGTCCGAAACTAAGTACGGGTCAACAAAACCTGGGAGTTATGGAAGGATGAGGAATAAATATGAGGCGCGCGAGGAGGATAACCAATCTCCTCAAGCGCCTTCTCCGCCCAAGACTGCTTCAGGATTGCGGTGTGGTCAGAGCTCGCGTAGGCCTTGCTCAACATGTCCTCCGCCCTGCTCATGCGCTCGATGGACTCGATCATCGCCTGCTAGCTGAAGAAGGCGAGCAGTGATGAGGCGGAGGAGTCCGAGGAGGAGACAGGCACAATAGCAGAGAGAAGGGATACGTATAATGAGGTTGAGGGAGACTGAAGAGCACTGTGCGGCCCTCGTTCTCGGTTCTCCTCCTCACCCTATCTATGCCTCATTACCGGCCTCGCCCCCCGCTTTGAGAACCATTGTTTGAACACAAACCACCCTCCAACGCACAACTGCTGAAACGCTTGAACTCAACACGCGCTGGACACACACTGGCCTTCGATCCGTGTATCTAATGAATCCGTGCCGAACGAATGTACGCACCACCTAAACGAACACTATAAATCGATCCGGAATTCGCCCGCCCACATCCGTGACATGCTTGGATTCTCGAGATCCAGGATCATACTCGGCTAGTCCAAGGCGTGAAACACAATGTGAGAACTGTTATGTTGAGACGAGTGTGCGTCGTGGCCGTGCGGGACATATTACTTAAGACCGTACCGCCCTCCATCCGTGCCCATCGATGCTTAAACACTTTGAACATAACTGCGCGGCACTGTGGCCAGGACCATGATTTGAAAACAAGCCGCCCTGCATTCCGCTCTGGGTCCGTAAATCTTTTAACTTTTGTGGTCACGTACCGCAAACGTGCGCGGCACTATGGCGCTAACCACTATTTGAAAACAACTGTCGCCCTTGGTCACTATAAGTGTTGGCCATATGCAAATCCAAGACCACGACCTGTAAACCAACGTCAAGCGAATCGCCCGGACAACCCTACTAACATGACTGGTGGCGCGATGCTGCGAACTCTACGATTCAGTGTAGGTGTATGTAGAAGGGAGGAAGGAAAACGAAGACGACGACATTTTCCCCGCTCTTCTCCTCTCCCGTGATCCCCCCCCTCCTGGATCCCAAACCCTTTCTAGCTTCTCACACTTCTCCCCGCTCCTAGATGCTATGTCCTCGAACTCCGCCACCGCGTCGCCGTTCTCGATTCTCGGCGCTCGTCGCCCGCATCCTCTTCCTTCTCCTTCTCCTCGTCCTTCTCAAACGAAAAGCGACCACTACCGTAGCAGTGTTGAGCTGCACCGTCAATGCCTCGCTCTCCTGGGGCTTTGCTGCGCTCTTGCTCGTTCACAGATGTCACGTGTGCGGAGCTGCCCTGTCAAGGCCGCGCTTGCCTGCGGCTTTGCTGCGCTCCTGCTCGCAACGCACACCGCCAGAGGCGGCGGAGCGCTTGAGTAGGGGGCCACATGCGAACCCTACCCCTACCCCCCACGATTTCTGAGGGGGAGGGTGGGGTTCGCATCTGGCCCCCTATTGAGAGATCCACCCCAAAAAAGTGTCCCTCAGCGACCCTGTGGACCCTCGGCCTCGCCGTCGTCCTCCCTCTCCGCCCCTCGCCGCGTCCTCCTCCCCATCGCATCGATCCTCGACCAACGATCATCGGTCACTGGCATCCTCCTCCTCCCTCCCCAGCGAGAACGAGGAGGAGGAGGAGGACCGTTAAGACGAAGTCGGGTGCAAGCGGAAAAACGACCCCTCCTCCTCCCCCCTTCTCCTTCTCCTCCTCCTCCTCCTCCTCCTCCCGTTCTCTTCTCCTCCTCCTCCTCCCCTTCCTCCCTCCCCGTTCTCCTCCTCCTCTACTCCTCCTCCTCCGCCTCCTCGCCGTTCCTCCTCCTCACTCCTTCCCTCTCCCTCCTCCTCCTCCTCCTCTCTGCCTCCTCCTCTCCGCCTCCTCCCGTTATCCTCCTCCTCCTCCTCCTACTCCTCCTCTCCCTCCGCCTCCTCCTCCTCCTCCTCCTCCTCCTCCTCCTCCTCCTCCTCCTCCTCCCGTTCTCCTCCCGTTCTCCTCCCCCTCCTCCCGTTCTCCTCCCCTCCTCCGTGGAAGCCGGCCGTCGCCTGCGCCTCCTCGATCACGGGGCCCGTGATCCCCGCCCCCTCAGCCGTCTCCAGGGCGGCCCGGACGCCCTCGACCTCGCCGAGGCCCATCGCGTCCCTGACCCCCTGGACGAGTGCGCTCCTCTTCGGCGTCGCCGCCGCTGTCGTCATCATGGCGGTGGCGGTCGCCGCCGCCGCCGCCGTCGTCGTCGCCGTCGTCGTCGTCGTCGTCGTCGTCGTCGTCGTCGGCGTCGTCGTCGTCGTCGCCGTTGTCGTCGTCGTCGCCGTCGTCGCCGTTGTCGTCGTCGCCGTCGGAGGAGGAGGAAGGAGCAGGAGGAGGAGGAGAAAGAGAGGTGAGGGAGGAGGCGTAACGGAGGGGCAAAGGCGGGAGGAAGGGTGAGAAATGGAAGTGGGCAGCTGAGAGAGCGACGGAGGAGAGATGATGAGAGATGGGGGGGCGGGAAGAGGAGGGAGGAAGGGAAGAGGATGCAGAGGAGAAGGAAGATGGGGAGGTTGATTAAGAGGATAATCAGAAACAATAGAGAAATCTACATACCAAAAATAACTTCTCCTTTACGGTTTCCGAATAGAGAGCCGAGAAGCCTCAGCAACCCACCGAGTGAAGCGACAAGTGTCCACCGAGACGGCAGAACGGGCCACGAAGCTTCGATTAACAAGAACAATGCTCCACAAACAAGCTGGAAATGATGCATTTACGCTGACTCGGAAGAGGACGACTGTGAGGCGGGAGTAGGAGGAGAATGCAGGAGAAAGAATGAGGAGGCGAAGGTTGAGCGGGATTGGCAATGACAGAGTGGGATGGGATTGAAAATGATGGTGATGGTGATGGTGATGATGGTGATAATGCTGATGCCGATGATGATGCTGCTGATGATGAGCATGATGAGGGTACGAGGATGAGGACGACGCAATGTTGAGGAGGAGAGGGATTCTAGGAGGGAACCTGGACGTGAAGATGAACATGAAGATCGTAAGAGGAGGATGATGATGATGCTGCTGCTGATGATGACGACGATTATGATGGACAGTTATTGGACAACCATGCCAACTCAAACGATGAATGATATTATGATAAAACAACGTTAATGGCTCATTTTGGTGATTGTGATGAATCGCTTGCATTGGGCTTTCATGGCAATCGAACCGCAATCTGGTCAACCATTGTCGCCACTGGGCGAACAGAGCACCGCCACCCTCAACGGGACCGTTGGCAACCGCCGTGCAACTGACACAAAAGGATATGAACTCCTCGGCCCCAGGCCGGAACTGGTGAGCTGCGGACCGAAATGGGTGTGGTCGAGGGAAACCAACAGAACAGAAAGAACTTGTTCTTCACGGTTTCCGAGTGGAGAGCCGAGAAGCCACAGAAACCCACCGAGTGAAGAAGCAAGTGTCGATCGAGACGGCAGAACAGGCCACGAAGCTTCGATCAACAAGAACAATGCTCCACAAACAAGCTGGAAATGATGCATTTACGCTCACTCGGTGGAGGACGACTGTGAGGCGGGAGTGGGAGGAGAATGACGGAGAAAGAACTAGGAGGCGAAGGTCGCGCGGGATTGGCGATGACAGAGTGGGATGATATTGATGATGATGGTGATGGTGATGGTGATGCTGATGATGATGATGATGTTAATGATGCTGATGATGATGAGGGGAGGAGGATGAGGAGGACGACGGCATGTTGAGGAGGAGAGGGATTCTAGGAGGGAACCTGGGCGTGAAGATGAACATGAACATCGTAAGATGATGAGGATGATGATGATGATGCTGCCGCTGATGATGATGATGATGATGATGATGATGACAACGACGATTATGATGGACAGTTGTTGGACAACCATGCTAACTCATACGATGGATAAGGTTATCATGAAACAACGTTGATGGCTCATTTTGATGATTGTGATGAATCGCTTCCGGGCAACGGCCTGCTTGTCTTCTTCCAGGGTTCTACCTCGTGGCTTGCGGATGCCGCTCGGGGGGAACGAAAGGGGGGGATAGCAAAGGGTAGGGGAGAGAATCAGCTCACGTTGCTGATTTTCCCAATGCGCCTCCCGGCGCCGGGAGGCGCCCATGTATCGAGCAATGGGCCCCGCGGCGGGGCCGAAACCAGCTGCATGCAGCAGATTTCGTAAGCCCCCCTTTCCACATCCCCCCTTTCGTTCGGCCTGAGCCGCTATCACTCCATGATGTTTGTGCGATATCCGCAAGCCAGCGCGTTACGGCATTATCTCAAGTATGTGTGTTCGGGCCATGCTCTTGAGGTTTATCGGGCGCGCGCAACAGTTGGTTCGCCATGGTGTCAGGTGGGTATGCTATTTCGGCTGTCCTGACTTGCACAATCGCTGTGTGCCAAACTGCCCAGAAAGGAGACATATGATGTGATGCTTGCTATATGCTTCGTTCGGCCGTCTTTTGCGGCTGATTGATTCGGCCCATCTGAGCCGCGATCTTGTAGGCGTGTGCATTTTGTCTAGTCCATCCATGGCGCAGGCTGAAAACTTATGATTGCTTCTAGCACCATCACATGCTTCATACTTGACGCTTGTCCAGAGCTCCAATTCTACGTTGCATTTGGCATCGCCACAGAAAGCGGGCGTTCCAATCTCAGTCGTCTGTGTGGTCTCTGAATTTCCACCTGCTCTAAGAGGCTTGACCCTCATTGGTTTTAAACCAACTCACAGGACCTACCAAACACTTGAGAAACGAAAATCTATGGAACGCGCCTGGGGCGCGGAAATACAGATCTAACCGGTCGCGGATCGCAACCTGATCCTACAAACACTGTGAAGCTTGTGTAATGCACGCAATCTCTCTTGTCCGATCGATGCTCGATCGAATGCGTCAATGGGGTCCCCTGTCGGAGCCCCACGAGAAACATACAGTCTCGATTAATGGCTATAGTTTTCGCACAGGCCAACATCGGATAAACCAGGGTGCCAAAAAGGAGGCGCTGATAACAGTACCTCAAGCTGCCCCATTGTCGGCGGCAGAGCAGGGCAGGGCAGGGCGGAGAAGGAGGAGGAGGAGGAGGAGGAGGAGGAGGAGGAGGAGGGAGGAGGAGGAGGATGAGAGGAGGAGGAGGAGGAGGAGGGAGAGAGGAGGAGGGGAGGAGGAGGAGGGGCTGAGACGATGATGAAAAGGAAAAGGAGAGTGGGAGGAGATAAGAGGAAAAAAGCAGAGAGGAGGAGGATGGGGAGGGAAGGAGGAGGAGGATGAGGAGGAGGATGGGGAGGAGAGGAGGAGGATAAGCGAAAAGGATTAGTGGGGAGGTCGTCGTCGCCGTCGCCGGGGCTCCTGGCGCGCGACTTCTCCATGTCCTTTATCGCCTTCGCCCGCTGCTCGGGCGTGAAAGCGCCGATCGCCTCCGCTCTCTCGCAGAGCCTGGCCTGGGCCTCGTCGTCGCCCTTCTTCAGAGCCTCGGCAGGGCTGAGGAGGAGGAGGAGGAGAAGGAGGGGGAGGAGGAGGAGAGGAGAGGAGGAGGAGGAGGAGGAAGAGGAGGAGAGGAGGAGGGAGGGGGAGGAGGAGTAGAGGAGGTGAGGAGCAGGATGAGAGGAGGATTGAGGAGGAAGAAGAGTATGAGATGAAGAGGAGGAGGAGGATGAGGAGGAGGAGAGGAGGAGGGGAGGGGGGGGAGAGGAGGCAAGCTAGGTGCGCTCGCGTCATATCTGACATCCTACCCCTCCCTCCCATCCCTTACCATGGCGTGAATCCCCTCTCTACTCGCACAATCGGATGTCGAGCTGGGCAATGATCCCGAAAGGGTGCGCGATGCATTGTAGAGCACGGCATGACATGGCGTAGAAGAGCACCGCAAAGCGTAGTAAGTCACAGCATGGCGTGGCGTGGCGTAGTGAAGAATTTCATCACAAAGCTTTGCAACGCAAAGCATGGCATCGCACAGCGACCCCGAACATTACATTGCATAGCATGGCGTTAAAGATCAAAGCGTAGCATGGCATAGCACGACGTGTCACTTAAGCACTGCATATCACAGCTTCAGCTGAAGGCATGGGATCGCGCAGCGGAACGCAACCTAGCATTGCATTGCATGCCGTGGCATGGCACGGGAAATGACGCCAGCGCTGCAGCGGGAGCACGATTCGGAACGAGCGGAAGCGCGGAAATGAGGCCAGCGCTGCAGGGGGAGCACGATTCGGAACGAGCGGAAGCACGGAAATGAGGCCAGCGCTGCAGCGGGAGCACGATTCGGAATGAGCGGGGCCCGAAGGCCGGCGCCTCAGTGAGAGCAGCATTTTGAAAAAAAGTCCAGGCGAAAACCCAACTCCGGGGAATCCTGTGAATAAAAAACAAAACGCGGGGGGGCGAACACTCCCAATCCGTCATCAGGGGGAGGAGGAGAGTAGTATTCATATTGAGTAATTGTGGAGGAGGAGGATGAGGAGGAGGAGGGGGAGGGGAGGAGGAGGAGGGGAGGAGGAGGAGGAGGAGGAGGGCGGGGGAAGGAGGAGGAGGAGGATGAGGAGGAGGAGGAGGAGGAGGAGGAGGAGGGAAGGGGAGGGGAAGGAGAAGGAGGAGGAGAGGAGGAGGAGGAGGAGGAGGAGGAGGAGGAGGAGGGGGAGGAGGAGGAGGAGGAGGAGGAGGAGGAGGAGGAGGAGGAGGAGGAGGGGGAGGCGCTCTCCGCGAATGGCGCGGGGATGAGACGGCGACGACGGGGGAATGCTGGGAGGCTGTTCCCCAACAGTGCCCGTACTCAAGGGGTTCTAAGGTATGTTACCTGAGGAATGCGTACCCCGAATGTCTTAAAAAAGCGTCGGGGGGG